TCCCGGTGGGCAGAACTTTGTGGACATCTACTTACCCCTGTTGTCTGGAAGGAGAGATGGCCGAGGCACAGATTTACCTTGACCATGGGAAGGTGTTAACCATTTGTTCAGGGCTCAGGGAGGCGGAGGGGACAGGATTGGGGCAGTGGTGACAAGGAAGTCTGGGGAAGAACCCAGAGTGAGACTATCAGAGTCCTTGGTGAACTCTTGGAAAGGTGCCCAGGGATGGGCAGGGGCCTGGGACCCAGGGAGACTCGAGGACCTGCTCTGTGCAGTGGGGGGCCTCCCCTGCCCACTTGAGTGCCTGCTCAGAAACAAAGTGCCCTTCTCGTAGTTGCCTAAGGTTCCCGCTGGTTCAGCACAAGAATCCCTCCCGCTGTCTGGCCTGGCTGCTGAGCACCCAGCCAGCCACCAGGTGGCAGGTCAGCCAAGTGTATCCCACGCATGCAGAAAGGGCCACCATTCCCCTCCCGCCGCTCACACATATCTAGACGTGGACCTGCCTGTATGGCTGCCCTGCTGCTGGGGTCCCACACATCATTTTTTCTGACCAAGGGGCTCACTGCAACAAAGTGCTTTCAAACCCCACTGTCCTTACGTGTCCCACCCCTGGATGGCCTTGCCCAGAGGTGGAAAGGTCTACTGCTGCGAGGTTGAGACTGTCCTGTTAGATGCTGGACATGCAGTTTCTCCCGCCCAAAGGATGGCCCAGGAACCAAGGGATGAGGTGATGCTGTCCCCAACCCATGCCCAGTATTTGGCCCATGTCTCCAGTGCTCTGGGCTCTAGATCAGAGACATCAGATTCCAAAGGAAGAAGCCATTTCTGAAGGTGAGATTCCATGGCTCTGCGGAACCACAGGCTGAGAAGCCACCTGGCCATCATGGGCTCCTTGTATCACTTAGACCAATGGATGTAACAGAGCGTTGGCCAGATGGACGGTCCTGATGGTCAAGGGATGAAGACGCTGCGGTTACACAGCGAGGGACTCAGAGGACTCTATCTCACATCTAGCAAGTTCTCCAGGGAACCCTGGGACACTGCCAGACACAGTGATTAAGGTTAGCGTCAGCTGGGCACAGTGGCACACACCTGTAATGCTCACTATGCAAGAGATTGAGGCAACAGGATTTCAAGTTTGATGCCAGCCCAGACAACCTAACAAGTCCCCGTCTCAAAAAAATTAAATAAATAAAACAGTGGGGCTCATAGCAATCCCTCAGAGGTGGACCACAGAGGGCTCAGATCTCTAAGGAGGGAGGGTTTGGATCTCTCCACTGGGGATTCTTAGCTGAGGCCCCTGTGGTGGGTTAATGATGGCCAAAGTTTCATACCACAGCTCCACATAGAGGCGGAACCTATTTGTCTTCCCTTTGAATCTGGGCTGCCCCTGCACTTATCTTGATTGACTTTTCCCTTAACTTCCCTGTTGGAAGTAGCCACCAAGTAAGAAGCTGGCTTATCCTGATGCTGCCATGTTGTGAGGAAGCCCAAGCAGCCACGTGGACAGAGACCCACACTGACGCACCACAAGGCAATTCCCAGCCACCAGCGAGAGGCAAATTATCACAACCGATGCCATGCTAAGTAGAAGAACCATCTAGGAGGGGGCCTGCCCAAATTCCTGACCCACAGGATTGAGAGAAACAAAACAGCTGTTACTTTAAGACACTATAGAGTATGTTGTTAAGTAACAAGAAGAAACCAAAACTTGCCCCTCAGCTTCGAGGGTGGTGGGCTCAGCTACCCTCTGTGTAGAAATCCTCTTCACAAATCACCTCTCCCCTGGCTCCACCTGTCCTCTACTTTTGCTGAAGATGGCAGCTTCCCAAATCACAGAACCAGTTTCCAGAAAAACCCTTGAACATCTGCATCCAATCTGATATTTCACTTGGAAATATAATATCAGTTGAATCTTGGTGCTTCAGACACGGTAAAATGCTGGCAGTATATATTGATATATTCTCACAGTTTAGAGGCAAGTTAGTTTGACTTTTTGTTTCCAGATCTTTCTGCCGACCCCTTTCCAGGAGGATGCTGGTGGTGGTCTCCTGGTTTTGTCTGGATCTATGATGGGAGCCTAGGAGGAGTATGTCCCAGACACAGAGGGGCTCAGGGGCTGAGGAGACTGCAGGGCTCCACTCTGGGAGGGGTGGGGCTACGTCCTTTGGTCAGCAGTTGCACTGTCACACAGAAGCACGGGGCTGGTGCTCCAGGGCTGCTTCAGGAATAGCCCAAGGGGTGGGGGAGACGCTTCCCACAGTGGCAGGGCTTAGTCACATCCTTGTTCGTCGACCCTCCAGAATTTCTACAAACCTGTCCAGGCCTGGAGCCAGTGCTGCCCTGCTTAACAGCCTGGATCCGGCTGTCCACAGTCAAGACCCAGGTTAAGCGGGTATTATTCTGGCTAAACAATCCAAGAAACCCAAGGCCTACAGCCCTAGCGAGGAGTCAGACTTGAGAAGCAGGTTTGTCGGGTTGGCTGCCTCAGCCACGCTCCAAGAGGTGTCCTGCCAGGAAGGACCTGAGGAAGCACCTTGCTGGAGAGTACACACAACAGGTCAGTCCCAACTTCTGGGTCATCAAGAAGGGCTCAACTCTGGGGTCTTCAGCCCAGGAGTGACTGCCCAGGGCACAGCTGAAGCTGGTCCAATCCTTGTCCTTTCTTCTCCAGGTCCCTGAGTCCCTCTCACTCTTTGCCAAGGTCCCAACCTACCGGAGCCCTGAGGACACCGCACTGGACCTGGGCTTCTGCTCTCAGCCACTCCAGACCCCATCTCTCTGGCCATGTGCCTGCAGAATGGAAAATCCCGGCCAGGAGGGCCAAGTGTCTGGGCCACCTGACTTCCACAGACACTGGAGTGCTCAGGACTGTGTGCCCGGTCTCTCTGAGCACGTGGACAGACAGCACTGACAGGCACCCATTGTCCTCTGTAGCCGGAGCCCATAGGGAGCAGAGGAGCCTCACCTGCACACATGTGCACAAAGCCCCTGGTGTCGCCACACCGTGGAGTCATCCTTGAGGACACAAGGGTGCACAAGATCTGTTTGGACTGAGGAATGCGGGCTTAATCAGGGTCTGGGTTCCTCAGTCTGTGGGGTACCACCCATGTCAGGGTGGGCACCCTGCTCAGAGCACGCCAAGGTGCTCCAGGTTCCACACCTCCCAGGGCCCCAGTGCCGGTGACCTGCTGAGCCATGTGACCACTCCAAGCACCCATGGACTTTTATGTAAAGGAGGGTGACAGATTTGCAATGCCCGCTTCCAACAATTACATAGAATCTCATTTTTCGCTTTCGTATCTCTTCTCACTGCCTGGTGTGGGGGTCCAGTAAATGTGTCCTCCTAGGGAAGCGCACCAAACTCGGGGACCCATCCATGTTGAGGCCCTGCCCTCCACTCGTGCCCTGTCAAGAGCCGCAGGTCAGAGGCCCCGCCCATTAGGAAGCGCCCTGAGTTGGGCGTGGCCGTAGGCGTGGCTTTCCCATCTCTTCCATTTCCCACCTTCTCTCCCATTGTCCGCACTCTGCCACTCTGAGGGGCTGCTGCTTGGCCAAGGACACACCAGCCTCAGCCCCATCCTGAGCCACCACTGCCTGCCAGCGGGAGACGCAGAGGTGAGGGTGGGTGACATGGGATCTACAGGAGGAGAAGGAAGCCTCAGCTCGGTCACCCCCTTGGATCCACCAGGAAGACTGGGAGACCCAGAGGCCAGGAGGGACTCTGGGTTTCAGGGGTACAGAGCCGTGCCTGTTAAAGTGACCCCGAGTCCCCTGGATATACAGAGGCTGCACCTGCCCCCCTGCTCTCCCTTCCCTAGCCGAGGGAAAACGGAGTGTTTTTATCTTGCTGCAGGACACGCAGCTCGGTGAAGATGTGATCAGCCTGTTTCTACCACCTGCAAAACCTACCCTCCCCCACAATAAATACGGGGTGCACAAGGGCCCTAAGAGTGTATTCAAGTGCGCCAGCACTTCCATGGGAAAGGCTGGGGGACAAACGTCAACTAAGGGTGACAGCAGCACAGATGGGCAAGGGCTTCTGTGGGCTGGAATGGTGCAGGCAGTATGGGGACTTGGCGGGTAGCAGCCCTGTCCCCTCATGCACACTCAGGACACTGGGAGTGGCTGCTTGTCGCTATGTTTGCTGCCTATCCTAGGCCCCTTAGGGGGCCTCCTCCACATGTGACCCCATCAAGCCTGAGAGGCTGGGACCTTGATTGTGCCCATTCTCCAGCCCAAGGTTCCCTGGAAATCACACAGCTAGAGAACGTCCAAGACAGTGAGCAAGGCGCAGGTCTGAAGGACAAGTGTGTACCTCAGAGGCAGACTCTCACCCATGTGTGATATCACGAGTGTGCGGAGTGTGTGCGTGGGAAGGGCAACTGTGCATGCATGCAGGTGTGAGGGCTGTGTGCCCATGTGTGCAAGGTGGTTGTGCCCACCTGTGTGTGGGGAACACGGGCATGCGAGCACAGGTTGAATGAGGTGTGTATATGTGTGTGAGATCGTGGGGGCTGCCTCTGCATCTCCCTTTCTGTCACACTCACCAAACACCAAATATGGCCGTCAGCAAGCACAGGACGGCCATTTCTGCTAGTTCCTCTGTGAACCCCTAGGATGCCAGCTCTGGACACTGGGGCACCCTGGGCAGAACTCTAGAGGGCTGAGGGCAAGCCTCCCCTCTCCAGGCCCTGCACGCCCAAATGCGCCTTGTGTCAGGGTTCCAGGCCCTCTTTTTACAGAGGACTTGGAAAGGACAGAGAGATGCCCAAGGAGACCTGGCAGGTGGGTGCTGGGTAGGGAGGAACCTGGCTTCTGAGACCACGGCTGCTCCGTCCTCGCAGCCACCCACTCCCAGCATGGCCTCAGCCTTCTGTCCCCACACTCCCTGAGTCCTGCCGGGAGCTCATTGCCCTGATGAGATGTGGGGGTGAGGCTGAGGCCTCAGAAAGGACAGAGCTCCAAGAAGATCCCCTGCCCCTCGGCCCCAGCCCTACCTGAGCCCTGCGGGGCTGCGCTGGACAGAATCCACTTGACCAAGCAGCACCGCATCAGGGCCTGGCGGGTGAGCCGCGGCCGCTGCCACTTGACACTCTCCTTCTTGCTCAACGGTGTGTGCCCAGGGTCCCCCAGGAGACTGCCATCCGACGCCTTCATGGCCTCCTGCAGCAGGAACAGGCAGAGCATCCTGAGCCGCTGATCCTAGAGGGGCCTCTGGGGCATTGCTGGGCCACCTGACATCGGGGTGAGGTCAGCCTTCACCTCACCCAGGGCTTGCGTGCTAGTCCTGGCTGGAGAGGCCCCAAGCTCTGCTGCCCCATGGGCCTCCGTTGCCCCTTCCATGGTCTTCTCTGCCCCATCTCTAAGGGTTTCTTCCTCTCTGCACCCTGCTTTAGCATACAATGGGGCCCCCAAAAGGAGGTGGTGAGGATTCCGGGGGGGGGGATGAGGGTGAGCCTAGATCTGCTGACTGAAGCCCCCGCCTGAGAAAAGACCAGATTGCCAGAGCCGGTGGTCACTCAGAGGTCCCAGTCCAAGCCCCTCCCTCTCTTCACTAAAGCCCACGGACAGCAGTGGGTGTCCCTGTGCCCCAGAGCCTTTGCTCTACCTGCCTTTTTTTTACCTATGGCAAGCTGAGGATGGATGAATGGCTGATGGTCACCACAGGAGGGGCACACGGATGGATCCCACCACCCAGCTGTGCAGTGACACGAAGAAGCAACTCAAATGGCTAATGGGAGGGATCCCGGAGGAGAGAGTGGGTGGTTGAGAGACGGAGGGGCCTGAATTGGAGTTGGTGTGACCTGAGAAAGGACAGCCCCAGAGCAGTGGGACTTGTTTTCCTGTAACAATATTTGAGGCCCCTCAATAATCCTGGCTTCCAGACCATCCGGGTCTTCAGTTCCCGAGGGGCAGCAGTGTGGCCCCTTCCGGCCAGCTGCAGTCAGCCACAGTGGTCCCTCTGGGCATTGCTGTGCCTTTGTGTCTGGTACCTGTGGCCAAGGAACAGGTTCGGCCCCTGTGATTGGGTCACGGCCCCCAAGCAGCCCTGGGCTCATTCTATCCATGTGCTAGTCTTGGGGCTCACGGGACTATTCTGAATGGCCAGGTTGTCAGCCATTCAGAGCCAGGGTCATTTAGGTGTCTGCTGTCCCTCCAGGACCGGGAGACTTTACGGGTGTTACATTCGCACAGTTCTGAAAAGCCTTTTGGGGCTTAGCGTGACTGACAGGCAGATGTGCAGTCGGGTGGGGGAGGGAGGCAGGGAGCCAGTCCTGTCACAGTCTCCACGGAGGGACAGGAAGCCAGGCTTAGGAGTCAGATCAGGACAGCCAGAGGCCAGTGAGGCCTCTCTGTGAGGCTGGGTGACGCTGGCCCCTGTCCCAAAGGCACCAGGCCTAGGACCCTCAGTGACCTCATGGCCTTGCTGCCCTGGAACCAGAGGCTATGCAGGGCCATCTCTGTGCAGACAGACACTGGCTCCGGGGTCAAAGCCAAAGCCCTGGCTGGAGACCCACTCCCTGGCTGCTGGACACAGGAAGCAAACCCCTGGCCTCCGTTCTGTCTTGCTCGCATTCTGTAGGAACCGTCTGAACTCGGGAAGAGGCCCAACCATGATCCTTGAATTGCTGAGGGGCTTGCTGCATTCTGAGGCTCCAGGTAGAGGACAACCCTCCAGTGGCTTCATGGCTCATGGCCCCACAGTGACTCCTGGTCAGATTTGGGTGAAGTGACCCCTTGGCAGGCCAGTGTCCAAACCCCTTATGCTGGCTCTCAGGCCCCCTCAGCCAGGTCCCAGCTGTCAGTTCCCCTGTCCACAGCTGTCCCCACCTCCCCAACACACCTCCTCAGCAATACCCCACAGCCCCCATTCTCCATGCCTGCCCCACTGTGAGGGGCTCCATGGTGCCCAGAGCTGCAGCCTGGGTAGGGCTGATGGTGCTGATGGGCAGAAAGGGGGCGAGATGCGGGTAGAGGGCCCAGGGGTGCCGAGGGAGGCACACACACAGGGACCCTGCCCTGGCTGGTCGGAGAGGCACCTTCTCCATTATTAAAGATCTTATTCAGGAGAGAAATGGCCTCAATGAATAAAGGCTTCACTTCAGTCAAGGAGGGGGCAGGGAGGCGGGCAGCTGCTGCCTCTCAGCTCCCAGGTTCCTTGCTGAAGGATCTGTGCACGGGTTGGTGAGAGCGAGGGAAGGAGAGGCCCAGGTGGGCCTCAGGTCAGCTCTGTGGGTCCACCCTCCAGGACAGCGCTGGGGAGGGCAGGCAAGGGCTGCCCATGCCAGGTGCAGCTCGGTCACAGGGATTCTGTCTCGCGGGGGCCAGGCTGGGAGAGGCCTGTGGTGTCCCTGGCTTCTACCTCACGGTGGTTCTATCCACATGGGGAGGTTGGGAGGCCCATGGGTCGGCCGAGCCCCTTAGGGCACATCTGTTCTGAGCCTCAAGTCATCTCCTTGCCACCTACAAGGTGGGAACACCACCCAATTATATAGACCAGGAAATGACATCCCCGAGACAATTTGGGACATCCCAGGACTACACTGGAAATGCCAAGGCCTTCTGATGCCAAAGTTCAGGTGGCCTTGGCCACAGGCTTTGCCAGAGTGACTGGTCATAGGGCCAGGACCCCGGAGAGCTCATAGAAGTTTTGGGGTTCCCAAGCCCCCGCAACCAAGTCAACAGTCTTTCAAAAGTAGCAGATGTTCTGACATGTCCCGGGGTAAGGGGCCCTGATGGGGAGTCTAGGAGGGGTGGGGTTGGGAGGCCTGGGTGGGGCTGGGATGTTGGGCTGCCTGAGGGGGCCGGGATCCCACCTGTGAGCCCCAAGGCAGGGCCTGTGACCACCTCCTTGTAAGGTAGGAGTAGGTTCCTAGGAGGCTGAAGAGGGGAGGCCCGGCTATCCACACAGCCTCAGAGAGGAGCCAAGGCCTGGGACTAGGCCCGTCAGGCTGTGGGAGAGGGAGGAGGAGGGGAGTGACCACCAGGTCACCCTCATGAATATTTGACTCTTGTCTGTCTGGGAGAGGGTCTGGCGGAGCTGTCAGGAGTGTTAAACAGCCACCCTAGCAGCCCTCCTCTTGGCCCTGGAGGCTGTGGGCTCTGAAGAGCAGGAGCTCTGGGAGGCCACCCCGTTGCTCCTTGCCCAGTGCTGAGAGGTGACCGGAGGAGAGCTGGGGCAGGAGGAGCCCATAAGTCACATCCCGCCCCCCCCCCATGGCTTCCTGCGGAGTTTCAAGAAAGGCCAACCGGCCTGCCCACCCTGCCTCCTCTGCTCCTCCTGCGCTGGGCTTGTCCCCCCACTGAGGGGGCACTGATGCCCCTGCACTGGACACTTGTCCTGTGGATGCTCAGGGGCTGGCTCAGGAGTCTGGTTCTGGGAGCAACCCTTCTGCCTAGGAGAACCCCTGGGTCCCTGTCCTAACACTGCTGTGTCTCAGACTTGGGAACCTTGTCCTCTTGGAACTTATCTTATTTTTTTTCTGTTTTCAGGTGCATTTATTTTCTTCCTCCAAAAGAGGGTGGGTCCTGCCACTTGTCCACAGCTCCTCGAGGCACAGACCCTGGCACCCACGAGACCCTCACTCCCCAAACTCCACAGGAAAAAAAACAAACCATCCAGCAAGAACGTGGGTAAAAGACATGCAGACAGCCCTCCAGTGGAAGGGGACATGGAGATGGCGATGAGCCCCTGACCACGTGGGCAGCTCCATTAGCCACTGGGATCTGCGAGCAGAACCACCCTGAGAACCATCCCGTTTCTCTTCTCAATGGCCAAGATAAAAAATAGTGACAGCATCGAAGGCCAGTGAGGATGCAGGGACCCTGGACCACTCCTTCCTCGCTGGTGGCACGCAGGACCCTGTGGCTACTCTGAACAACGGCTCTACAGATTCTTAGAAAACTAAAGATGCATCGACCGCCCAACCCACCCATCACACTCTGGGGCACTGGTCCCAGAGAGCTGAAAATACATGCTCCAACAACAACAACAAAAAATTATACATGAAAACTTGCAGCAGTTTTATGTGTAAGAGCCTCAAATTGGAAACCTCCCAGTTGTCCTTCCGTGGGGGAAAGTTAAATACACAGTGGTGCGTCCATGTCACGGGCTCAGTGTGAGAGCAAACAGCCTGGGTGAATCTCTAGGTTGCCAGGCTGGATGAAGGAGGCCAATCCTGGAGGTCACGTGCTGTGTGATTCTAGTTATGTGACATTTTGAAATGACATTTTAGAAATGGGGAACTGATTAGAAGGCTGGTCACCCCAGAGACCGGGGAGAGGCAGGTGGGAGGAAAGGGTGGCTTCCAAGGCCTTCTGACTTGACTGTGTCTCGGACTTGGGAACCTGTGCAGCGCGCGTGCACACACACACACTTGCACAAATGAGTACATGCAAAACCGGGGGAATCTGAATAAGATCTGGGGACTGCATCCCCGTGGATACTCCAGCTGCCATATTGTACTAGCTTTGTAAGATGGAAATCGGGTAGAGAGGTTGCAGGACTCTGTTTATTTCTTACCACAATCAGATCAATAAAAAATTCAAATTGCAAATACTGTCATAAAAAAAGAGTATTAAAAATACAAACAGAAATAAGGCCTTTGATAAATATCCATGAACGGCAAGGTGATGACCCTGATGTTCTCCTGAATCCACCGGAGTGACCTTCACTCCATTGGCTCCTGCCTGATTCTGCCTCATTTTAACTGGTGACAGAGTTGTCATTGTCCACAGGCCCCAGGATGGCCAGGGCAGGGTGGCAGGGACTGATGAAGCCAGAAGACCTGGGTCCAGGGGATCCACAGAGTCCCTGGTGACATAGGTGTTCAAGACCATGTCCCAGAGACAGTGCCCAGCAAGACTTACAAGATTCCCTCAAGGTGGCACACACCTGTAATCCCAAGGGCTCGGGAGGCTGAGGCAGGAGGATCACGAGTTCAAGGCCAGCCTCAGCAACTTAGCAAGGCCCTAAGCACCTCAGTGAGACCCTGTCTCTAAATAAAATACCAAAAAGAGCTGGGGATGTGGCTCAATGGTTAAGTGCCCCTGGGTTCAATTCCTGATACCAAAAAAAAAAAAAAATTTCCTCAAAGGTAGAGGCTGCAGGTAGCTGGGCAACTCTCTGCCGATCACCCCAGAGCCAAGACTCACAGGTAGGC